CACTACTTTAATCCATGACTATATAAATGAAATAAACATATTTAACTGGCTTTCTACATCGCAAAGAAGACTGGGCAATGCTTTTTCCATGCTACTCACACAAGTTTAGTGCTAAAGCTTGCCTTTAAACTGTCTGCAGGGGCCACGCTACAGAATCTCACTGGATATAAAGCAGATGTAATGAGATACATTTTTGTGATAAACTCCTTGGAAGAGGAGGTAAAAAGGGTCTTACTGGACCGCAGCAGTAGAATTAAAGATTCCTTTTAATGCCCTTCCACTGCAAACTGCTTGCATCCTTTTTTACTTCTGATGCATTCTGTGCTGTGGTTACTTCTATGCCTTTCCCCACCACTAGACTGTGAGCCCCGAGTGGACGATTCATTCACATTCTCGGTGGCATCAACAGTCTCTAGCCCGGCACAGGATCACTGTCAAAATCATCTCCTTATAAGGACAAGTTTTTCTTGCAGCATAACTGAGTATTGTTTCAGTTACACATTGCTATTCTTAATAATCATTTAACTCTTGAGTATATGTATTAAGAGGTTTAAAGTATTATTTGGTTAACTAATATAGAAAACAGATTAGGAAGATGTGGAATGACATTCAAATATTTATAAAACTTTAAAAGTTAACTATCACTGTAACACTAAAACAGCATGCAATTCTTTTCATTTTCTAAGACCTACGCTCAATTTCATATCTCAGAGACATAATATATATTTTTAACTTTTCATTTTATATGGAAGTGTAGTTGATTAACAATGTTGGCAGCATATATGTTTGCATTATATTACTGTCCACTTCTGAAAGTTTCAGACATCTAGAACTGTTTTGAAATGTGTAAGGTTTGTAATAGATGAAACATGCCATGTCAAGCTTTGTTCTTACTATTAATGCCATGATCCTTTTGAAAAGAATATGCATCTCTGATGTAGGTATATTTCTCTCTCTCTCTCTCTCTCTCTCTCTCTCCCTCTCTCCCTTTTTCCCTCCCTCTCAATCCACACATACATGCATACACATTCACACCTACCCATGGACACTTTAAAAACAACTTTGTGTTTCAATACCAAAAACTCTCTTTTTAAAAACATCCACCTCTTTTTTATTATAAAAATTATATAAGAAAATTATAGGAACTTTCATATGTAGAGTGAGGAAAATCAGCTCCAGGCAGCACACTATTAGCATAGGTCTTACAGCATAATATTTTAATAATGGTCATTTTTGAACTTTAAATGTAGCATTTTTTTACACAAAAAAAATTTCCAGAAAAATAGTAAATATTTTGGGTTTTTTAATATAAAACTTCTCCATGTAGTTAGAATCATATATAAATTTTAATTTCCACTATAAAAGCAACATTCATAGAAATGAGAAGTCATGATTGGCCAAATATAAATTCATTTAAATCCAAAATTAAAATTATACCAGAATAACCAAATCCAATATATTAACATAGATTCAATTTGGGGGGAAATTTATTTGATTTCACATTCCTTTTGAGTCCACCTTTCTTTTTTCCATAAATATAACCACATCTTAAGTTTACAAGTGTAAATAAAATGTCTAATGCAAGTCAAGAGTTCTTTTCCTACTGTGCACATACAAAAATTGAATAATTCATTTTGCAAAATATAATAATATAACTCTATTTTTCAAATATATAAAGAATATTTTTATAATCAATAATCACCATTAAATAAAATCAAGTCTAATATTGACTTTTGCATTTTTCAATGTGGTCATATCTAAATAAATTTTCAATTCTTTGCCAGGCATTTTCTTAAAGATCATCCTTTTGTATTTGTTTCCCCTCATTCTAACTTATTTTAAGTTATCTTTTTAAACAGAATAAAATTCTTACAGAATTAAACTACTAATATTTTACTTTCTAGCATGTATTAAATACCTTTTTTGTCACTATAAAATAGAAAATAATCCACATTCAATCTGAATGAGATCTTACCTTCTGGTTTGTTGTTTTTCCTCTTCAGCCATTTTTCTACAGTCTCTGCACTAACACTTTCAGATACAAATTCATCTAATACCTGGGGGTGAAGAGAAAGATATGCCTTCACTTTTTCATCTGTCAAACCTGTAAAAGAATTGAAAAGAATAAAATTAATCAATACGAAATCTTCATTTACATCAAAGATATAGAAAAATGACATTTATGCAGATTGATTTAGCATAGAAATATTTTTAAAAGATGTATATACATACAATGGACTATTATTCATCCATAAGAAGGAATGAAGTTCTGTTACAACATGGAGGAACCTTAAGAATGATATAGTAAATAAAATAAGCTAGACACAAAGGGCAAACATTATATGATTCCACTTATATGAAATATCTAGAACAGGTAAATTCATAGAGACAAAGTAGACTAGGGGCATCCAGGGGCCGAGGGAGAGGAGAATGAGGAATTATTTGCTTAACAGGTACAGAATTTCTGCTTTGGGTAAAGACAAAGTTTGAGAAGTAGACAGGAGTGATCGTTGCACACATAGTGAGTATAATTAGTGCCATTGGATTATATCCTTGATATGGTTAAAATGGCAAATTGTGTGTTATTTATATTTTACCACTATGAAAAAGGGGAAAAAAGTAAAGTTAGAACTTTAGCAATTTTAAACTATAGATATTGCATCATGTTACACAGCTGTTTTGCAACAGTAAATTTCAGTGTCATATCTGAACTGATGCTGTATTCCACTGCTGTTCGGTTAAGCCTTGCAAAGTGCTTCCACTTTTTTGCAAGTAATTATCATAGATTTAAGACTTAAGGTAAGTGAAGCTCTAGCAACAGTATCAAATGGGAGAATAAAGCACTGGTACAATTTAGGTGCTAAAAAACATGCTTAATGAATAAGTTCTCATCTTTTACTGTTTACAACACAAATTCTCCTTTTTCTCAGGGTCACTAAATCCAATGATAAAACTAATGTTCAGTTCAAAATACTCGACATTTTTTCATTGATATTCAATATATGTAGTCAGTTTCACTGAAATAATTTTCATAGTCTAATAATAACGGCTGAATATACACAGAATTTTCAAGCAAAGAACTTCTACATATCTTCACTTAAAAAAATATAAAATTACAAGTTTTCAAATTGATGCTTCATGTTGGTACACCATTTCACTAAACAACTCAAAATCACAAATAGGCTATCAATAATTATTACTCAGTGATTGTAATTATTTGTACTACTGTACACTCTCTGTGAATTATTCAATAAATTACCATCCTTAAGGATGGTTAGGTGAAAAAGACAATGGAAAGTTGTACTTTTAGGTGCAGAAAAGAGAAAAAGCAAGTATATCTTTATGACTTCAGGGAATAGGCTGCATGTTTCTAGCACAGACAAGGCACAGAATTTATACATATTAATTAATTCTGCTGGGGACTAAAGCCACAACTGTATGCTTCTACAACAGACTGGTATTATTGAGAAGGCAACTGATTTATTTCAATGAATTCAGTATTTAAAAAATCAATTTAAACTATATAGATATACAGATCTCTCATATATATATAATATATATATAATTATGTAGTTGTTTTATAAAAAAAAAAAAAAAAAAAAAAAAACAAGATCCAGCCCACGTTCACCCTGCAAAAGAGCCTCAGTGACGTAAAGTTCAATTTGAGAAATTCTACAAGGTGCTCAAGATAAGAGACTCATTAAAGTAAGAGAGAGAGCTCTCTTGACAAAGCAAGTTCGGGTCCCCAGATACAAAAGGCACAGAATATAGAAGTAAGCTGACAGCTGACTTGACCTCAAGAAGACAAAGCAATTTTCATACTTTCATTATGTCTGTCATAGTGGTACATATTCAACGTTTGATTCCTTCTTAAAACTTCCTTCTATCACTTTTGTGACACAATATGGTTCTTATCCTAACTTCTATTTGCTCTTTACTTCTGCTTTCTCTACAATAATCTATGATGATGACAGCAAAATCTTATTATATTTTTAATCTCTAGTTTGGAAATTCTTCCATCACCTCAAGCTCCATCTTGACTCAAAACTACATGAGTCATCTCCTTCCCACTTATTCCCAAAGTGATTTTAACTCTCAACTTTCTGTTTTCTGTTACTATTACTCTCCGTTTTTTCCAGAAACCCAGGCTGAAAATATAAAGGCATAATTGACTCACTGTCATTTCATTTCATCTTAGTGCATATTATACAAGTCCTATTTGCCAAATTACATATCAGATAAAGGAACCGTATCTAAAATATACAAAGAATGCTTAAAACTCAACAAGAGGGCTTCCCAGGTGGCGCAGTGGTTGAGAGTCCGCCTGCCGATACAGGGGACGCGGGTTCGTGCCCCGGTCTGGGAAGATCCCACATGCCGCGGAGCGGCTGGGCCCGTGAGCCATGGCCGCTGAGCCTGCGCGTCCGGAGCCTGTGCTCCGCAGCGGGAGAGGCCACAGCAGCGAGAGGCCCGCGTACCGCAAAAAAAAAACAACAAAAACTCAACAAGAAAAAAACACAATTAAAAATGAGTCAAAGAGCTGAATAGACACTTTGCAAAAGAAGCTATAGATATGGCAAATACGAATATGCAAAGATGATCATTTGCGAGTTGAAGTTAAACAAAAATGAGATTCCACTACATACCTATGAGAATGGTTAAAATCCAAAAAACCTACTATCAGTTTCAGCAAGAATGAGGAGTAACAAAAATTCTCCTTCAGTGCTGGTACGAATGCAAAATGGTGGTCACTTTGGAAGACTGGCAGTCTCTTACCAAGCTAAATATAATCTTACCATATGACCCAGCAGTCACACTACCAAGTATTTACCCAACTGATTAACCCACACAAAACCTGCATGTGAAAGTTTAGAGCAGCTTTACTCATAATCGACCAAAATTGGAAATACCTAAGATGTCCTGCAAAAGTGGTTACCGGGGGGAAAGAGGGGGAGGCATAAATTGAGAGACTGGGATTGACATATACACACTATACTACTATACAGAAAATAGATAACTAATAAGAACCTGCTGTAGAGCACAGGGAACTCTACTCAATACTCTGTAATGACCTGTATGGGAAAAGAACCTAAAAAAGAGTGGATATATGTGTATGTATAACTGATTCACTTTGCTGTACAACAGAAACCAACACAACATTGTAAATCAACTATACCCCAATAACATTTTTTAAATAAATAAAATTAAAAAAAATTAAAAAGGTTTAAAGAAGGCAAGTTGGATACATCAGTTGTGCCATAAACATATAATTAAATATTATTTAGCAACGAGGAGAAATGAGCTAGCAAGCCATGAAAAGACATGGATTAGCCTTAAATGCATATTACCAAGTACAAAAAGCTAGTCTGAAAAGGCTGCGTGTTGTATAATTCTAATGATGCAACATTCTGGAAAAGGCAAAATTATAGAAAAAGATAGTAAAAAGATCACTGGTTGCCAGGTGTGAGAGGCAAAGGGTGGAACCCTCATGAATGGCATTAGTGCCTTATAGAAGTGGATCCGAAGAGATCCCAAGCCCCTTTCCACCATGCGGGAACATAGAAATTCTGTGATTCAGAAGAGGGTCCTCACTCAACCAAGGTGCACCATGGCCTTGGACTTCCCAGCCTCCAGAACTGTGAAAAACAGATTTCTGTTGTTTGTAAGCCACCCAGTCTGTGGTATTCTGTTACAGCAGCCTGAATGGACTAAGAGAATCCATGAGTTCACACTGACATAAATAAATGACTGAATAAATAAATGAACAGACAGAGGAGAGTAGACAAATCTTCCACACAGAAGAATTCCAAATAATTTATGCAGATACTCTGCCCTCAAGAAGGTGCAGCATAACTCCCCACTCCGTGACACTTATTTTGTATAAATTACTCAAAATGTTTTTTAAAGATCAATTGAGTCATAAATGAGCTGTGATGTCTAAGTAAACTTCTAAAGAAATTAATCAAATCCTGGATTTAAGTATGTAGGAGAGAATGGGATGGAAAATAGACCATTTTGGTTGTAAAATCCTTTTAGAGTGCAAATGTTATTACATAGCTTGATATCTCAAATGTCTCAAAATACCTAATTACAATTTTTCTCCCCAAGTCACCATTCACATTTCATGAAAATAACTACCGCCTTCAACATGAGAATGGCAGGGGGAGTCATTATGTCTTGGTGATTAAAAGTGATAAAAAGCAAAAGTTAGTTTCCTCATTTCACCTATTCACCTGAGCCTGGCCAAAGCACCTAAACTCTCTCAGCCTGGCTTCTTATTTGTATGGGAATGGGATTTGAATAGGAATGAGAACAATACTATCTATCTCACAGTGTCACAATAATTCAATGACCTAATCCATATACAGCATTTTTGCTGAGTACATTTACTAGTATCGATAGTACCAAAAAGTCATTTTTCACCTGTATGAAAGCCAATTCTTGGATTTTCCACAGAATCAAATCACAGGTTTGTAACTTTTCATTTCTTTAGCATTAAAACTCCAAACTTTCTAAAATGTCCATTTTTTGTTTTATCGTTTAAAGTACGCTCAACTTTCTTAGCCAACAGAAGCACTTTTTTCTAATATTTTATCCATTTTTACTTCCTATTAACATGCAATTTTGCAAAGGACCTTTGGGCCAACACAGGACCAACCCAGAATATAAGACACTGAAATAATTATCCACACTCCTGGAAAATGGCAGATGTATGGATGATGAAATCATTCTTCTTTTGTTTTTGTCTGACTTTGGTTTAATGTTTCCATAGCTTCCCATGGCCTGTACATTTTGTTTATGTCAATAAAAGACTTGGTTAGTGTTTCTTTGAAACAAACCCAGTGAGAGCAGTGGGGTCAGACCACAGCTGTCATTAGCACACACTAGCATCCAGTGATTAAAACTTTGCCACCAATAATCCACACAGTGAATCACACAGATAGATACTAATGTCTATTCCAAGGTAACATGAACACTTGAACCAATATATTTAAAAATACTTCATTTCCACTAATGAACTACATTCTCTCATCTATGCAATATTTTGCCTGCATACAGATTATAAGATGCTATAATCACATATAAAGACAAAGACAAATTAAT